TTATAGCCGCTATGCCGGTGCTGTTATTAGCCACTATGTGGTGCTGTTATAGTCACTATGCCGGTGCTGTTATTAGCCACTATTGTGGTACTATAGCTGCTAAGCCGGTGTTGTTATTAGCCACTATTGTGGTGCTATTATAGCCGCTATGTCGGTCATATAGAAGTTGCACATTTTTCATCACTGGTGTGCTACTACCACAATATACTTGGGACACGTTCATTCAAAAATACATCATTGATGACCCAAGGTACACCTAAAATAGCTCAATACATCTTTGGCATGCGGCCTAAGCGGCATACCTAGAATAACTCAATACATCATTGGTGACCCAAGGTACACTTGGAATAGCTCAATACATCACTGGCTTGCGGCCTAAGCGGCACACCTAGAGTCATATATGCACATGATGCATGTCACACATTCACTATTTCATTGACTCAACATTTCACTTATCACGTCTCATCATATCTCATGTCACATTATCTCATAATATCATGTCACATGTCACTTGTTTGCTTTTCACATTTTCACATCATATTCACATAGTCTTATACAAGGAACATCTCATAGTCATACACATCAGAATAGCACATAAACGATACCTGGAAATTATCCAACATCATACACATTTAGTTCACAATTCATAACATACGAAGAATAAAGGTCACTGACTCAACTTCATGATTTCATGCATTTTCTACAACCAAAAAATTAATATAATATTTCAATCGGTCAAAACACTATTCAAATATTATCCAAAACATGAATCTATCATCAATTTTACATATAATGCCTCAAAATTCATTCAAAGATCATATCTCTAATTTCACTTCATAAGGTTTCTCACAAGAACCCATAGAACACTCTAATTCATATCAAAACTTGTTTATTTTTGAAATTAATCGCATATTCACATTCAACAACCATCAAGGAACATAACAGAAAACTCAAACACGAAAACAAAACATTCAAAAAGTGAATGTTTCTAAAAGCATGCATCAAGCATGGGATTGGGGCCAATCCCACTACCAAACATATCCATTATTGAAATTGAGCACATATTCACACTCAAAATCACACAAGGAATGCAACAAAATAATTAGAAAGCAAAGAAAAAACTTTCATTAAGTGTTTGTTCCTAATAGCATACATCAGACAAAGGATTGGAGCCAATCCTACTATCAAACATATCCAATTTCAAAATTAAACACATATGCATACTCGAAATCATACAAGGAACGCAACATAATAGTCAAAAAGGAAAACAAAAAATATTCATAAAGTGTCTGTTTTCATAAGCATACATCAGGCAAAGGATTAGGCGGGCAATCCTACTACCCAACAGTTACTCTTACACCCCTAAGCAAGGTCCCCCTTACCTTAATGAGTTGAGGACGAAGCATGAGTGGAATTTGGTTGGTCTTCTTCTCCAAGGTCTCATTGTTCTTCAAAACATAAGAGAGAAAAATGAGAGTCAAGAAATGGTTTACATAAAAATCACTTAACTCCCTTGTAACTTCTCCTAACCCCTCCTTCTCAATAAATAAATTTTAAAAAATAATAATAAAATACAATTTAATAAATGTCCAAAATGTCCTACTTCCCTCTTATAAAAATTTTAAAATAATTAAACATATTTCCTCCTTTTAATAAATAACATAAACATAATTCTTGATAAAAACATATTTTCATAAAAATAGTCTTATGGCAAATAATCCAAATATTAATTAAAAATCATGTTTTATTTTGTCATCATTTCCGCATTAGACTATGATTTGTGAAATATGAACATGAACTCTCTATATATATGTTTTGGAACCTTGTTTCGATTAAGAAAGTTTTATTTACTTAGGAATGTACTTTATATTTATTGTGTATTATGTATGTGGAGTAAAAAGTGTCACATCCAAAGCGCACTATCCCCTAGGACTCCCCTAATCTATTATACAAGGAGGGTCTTCCCTAACGGTGTACTCCATATCATACTTGTCACATAAATGCACACGATGCATGTCACACGCATTCACACTTCATGGACTCATCACTTTACTTGTCATGGAATTTCATGTCTTATCTCATTTCATCACGTTTCAAATTCTCACAGTCATAGTATTCACAATAGTATGTAATTCACATCATGTCTCATGTCACTTGTTCACATTTCACATTTCTCATAGTCATACTCATAAGATCATCATTCAGAGATTCTTGTCCTCATCATGCTCATAAAACACATTACTTACGTTAACACAGTAATAAGGCAATTCCCACACATAAAACTTGTAAAACATCATTGGGATCACGCTCGGTGCACCCCAACTCACGCCCAACGCATTAAATGTCGCACTAAAAGTGGTGCATCACGCCCGGCACGCCCAACAAATTAAATGTTGTGCCTAAAGTGGAGAAATCTGCCCAACAAGACTTTCTTGCGCCTAGCGCAACGTTCTTGCGCCCGACTAAAAACCAATTGCATCTGGCATAAAATTAAGCCCAACTTAAAAACTACGCCCAACGCTACAAACTGCGTCCAGTGCCCCAATGCGAACCTTCATTACTTAATTTCGTGAAATCTTGCGTATTTCACAACCAAACATGTAATTATAGCATTCAATTGGTAAAAACACTTCAAATAACATCCAAAACACTAATCCATACTCAATTTTATGTAAACTACCTCAAATCTTGTCAAAAGATCATACCCCTAATTGTTTCTCATAGGGTTTCCCACAGAAATCCACAGAGTACTATAATTCATATTAAAACTTACCTAATTTTGAAATCAAACACATATTCATGTATCACATTCAACCAGGAACTCAACAGAAAACTCAAATATTAAAATCGAAAACTTTCATAATCTACATGTTCCTAAAGCATGCACCAGGCAAGGGATTGCGGGTCAATCCTGCTATCCAACAATTATTCCCACACTCCCGAGCAAGGTTTCTCACTCCCCCTTACCTTGATAAGCAAAAGATGAAGCACAGGCAAAATCTAGTTGATCTCCTTTTCTTGGTTCTCCTTGGTTTTTAGAGAGCGTAAAAAGGAAAATGAAGTTAGAAGTGGTGAAATGATTTTTGGTAGCCTCAGGTAACTTTTTAACTCCTGATAACTTCTTTCTTAATAAATAAATAAATAATAATAAAATAAATCATTTACCAAAACGTTCTTCCTTCCTTTCTCAAAAAAATAAATAATAATTAAAACATACTCTCTCTTTAATAATCAACATAAACATACGCGTACATGTTAATAAAATACATTTTATAAAATGTCTCTTATTTCACTAATTAAAAATGATAATAACAAATCATGTTAATTTCATAAATATAATAGAACACATATAATTAATTAAATAATATTAAAACTCTAAAATAAATACATTTAAATATCAAAATAATTTCTAAAATACCTTTAATATAATTTATAAAAATCGGGATGTTACAAGATACACTTTATTTTATAATTTTAAGATTTTGATTTCATTTTTCATTTTTTAATTATTAATTTATCAAATTCTTATTTTATCATTAAATAGAAAAAATTGAAGTTGATTTTATTTTTTTTAACGAAACATAGTCATTAAGTTTAAAATTATTACATATTACATAATGTATATATCAAAACTAATTTAAATCTTGAACAAATATTTTTTCTATAAATTTCATAAATTATCATATATTATTTCAAATGAATGCCAATAAAACTTTTTTAATGATTGATAAAATATTATTTTAAAATAATTTTAATTGATTTAGTATGTAATAATCTTGTAACAATACGTAAATATACATTAGATCATTATTATATAGAATTTTGAAATTGTTTATATTCATAATAAATTTGACATTATCAAAAAAATAAGTATTGTTATCATCATCATTATTTTATAGGTCATATGATTTCATTTTTCATTTTTTAAATTATTAAATTATCATATTCTTATGTTATCATTACAGTCATTAATTGAAGTTTATTTTTTCTCTTTCATTTTTATATATTATTTTATATAGTGTGTGCAAGATTTTAGTAATTATTAGTATTGAATATATACAATTTTTATATTTTGTAGGTCATATTTGTAGTTTACCATCATTGATCTATAGGTCATATTTTATATTTTTTTTAGATTTTGGTTTCCTTTTTATTATTATTAATTTATCATAATTTCAGCTTTGAAGATATGTTTTTTTTTTTGTTCGTTCCTGGAGTATCCACCGTTGGAGGCACCTCAAAGGATGGGATAGTTGGCCCCAAGATTTAACGCGACCTTGCTTAAGCGTGGATCAACCCCTACCGCTGAACCACACGCTTGGGATTAGCTTTGAAGATATGTTTAATTTGACGCTATCAAAATTTATTAATTATCAGTATTGACTATATACATTTTTTTATCAGTAATTCCTGTATTAATTTATTTTATTTTTATAATTAACATTTATATAGAAAGTTTTTGACGGAGTTTCGAACTTCAGAGTTTTGGAGAGAAACGAATTGTTGCAGATCTTTTCTTTTTATATATACTATTAATTAATTAATAATTAAATTTTGTTAATTAATCATTAATCGATAATTAATTAATAGATAGTTTTTTTTTTCTAGTCAAAAGAAGAGTATAACTCCCACAAGCTACGTAAACATTTTCTGAACATAATGAATGCATCGCAAGAATCGCAACTTTAAAACGGAAAAAAAACGCAAATTTAAAGACCCATCAATGAAAGAATATTATAAATAAAGTATATTTACCAAAAACATTAAATATATCAAATCTATATAAGTAACGCTTTGCTATGAGTGCCTCATCAAAAACTTACAAACAAAGTTGCAGCACCTTAATAAGATGGGAGAGAAGAAAGTTTTGGGTCTTGTGATGTTTGTTATGGCTTACACTTTGGCAATGATAACACACACAGCATCTGACATTCCTGCAACATGCAATGGAGATGAGCCAGTACTTACCTTCTGTGGTCCTTATTTGGTAAACAAAGTACCAAATCCATCTTCAGATTGTTGTAAAGGAGCAACAAAGGTGTTTAACAGAGCCATGGGTGACAACACTGGTCAAGGTATAAGAGATCTTTGTAATTGTCTACGTGGGGCAGGACCATCTTTAGGGTTTCAACAACCAAATCTGATAAACCTTCCTAGTCTCTGTGGGATCAAAACTACTTTTTCAATGCCCTTGTGTATATTGGGGCCTAATGTCCTTCTCTCAAACCAGGAGAAAAATTATTAGTTTATGTATTGATTCAAGTAATAATTAAAATTTTATTTTATTTACTGGTATTGGATACTGCTGTAGAGATAGTCACATGCCTTTAATTTATTTATGTTATACACTTAAGGGTTTAATTGGTGCATATGACAAAGCTATAGAGATAAAAGTATTTATTTTAAATTTTAAAAAGTTGAAAATTAAATAATTTTTTTACAAGAATTAAAAGTATTTTTTTTCTCTATAGAGACAAAAAAATATGTTTAATCTTAAATAAAATATATATTAAATAATAAAGACTTAAATAGCTTTTTGTTCCTGTAAAATAAGGAGTTTTGATTTTGTCCTTTCAATTCTTTTTTCACTTTTATCACTATATTGTTTTTTGGTTTTATTTTCATACTTGCCGGCCAATAAATTTAATGTAAAAAAGTTTTAAAAAAAATTACCTGATCAAAATAGCAAAGTGAAAAAATTATAAGATTCAAAATAAAATAGGACTAAAATGAAACCAACTAAAATTTAGAAAGATTAATATGAAAATAAATAAAATTTAGAGGATAAAAAATAAAATAATTAGAATTAAGATGATTAAAATTAAACTTGTAAAATTTAAACTTTAATTTGCACTAAATTATATAGAATAAAATATTAATGTTTAGTGACAATCTGAAAAATAAACCTTAAACATAAAATTTCATAAAAATAAGCAAAGCAATAACTTTTGAGTTACAAAAGAAATATAACAAATGGAAAACAGTAAGAATAAAACATAAAATATGACATAAATTCTATAAAATTATAAAATTTTTCATAGAATAAAATGATATGGTGTGATGTAAAAAAAATTTTAATGTAATTTTGTTCATTTCTCATGTGATTTCTACCTTACTGTATTTATGTATTTAAAATACTTAAATTCTATGAAATTGACTTAAGTAAATATTTAGTCTCTCTAAAATAAATTTATTTTTTTAATTTTTTTAATTTTAGTTATTTATATTTTTTTCTTCTCAAATTTTCATTTCACCTTTTAAATTTAAGTTATCTTCATTTTGTTCTTTATTTTGGTTTTTATAATTTATTGACTTTTCCCCTTTAAATATAATGTTCAAACTTACCGTAATGATGAAAATGCGAGACGAAAATGAAACAGAAATTAAAAGGACTAAAAATAAAAACAGACTATTTTAATGGGATTATAAACTTTAATTTGGCTAAAAAGTTATTTAAGCCAATAATAAATTAACAACCTATTTTTGTGTTGTTTGTTTTGCTTGAGCTGAATGTCATTTTCAAGGTAGGTACATGTATATGTTACTAATTATGGGGGAAAAATGAGCTTAGTCTTTCATTTTACAGTTTTTTTTTTGCTTTGTTATGATAATTGACATTTGCGAAATTTTGAGAGATTTATGTTTTCTTAGATATTTTAGTTCAGTTTTATAATTACCAATGTTACACCCTCTACCCCAACATAATTACAATAGATATAGTGTACAAAATACATCCAGTAAATGGTAACTAAGTAGCTAAATACATCAAAAGAATAAAGCTTCATCTGCCCGCTGCAGACCTTCTTCAGCAAAACACCAACCTAACCCTGCCCTGCTCCCATACATAGTATGATCATCGCAGTCCAAACCACATGGAACAACAAAGGGTAAGCTAGTGAAAAGAATCAGCATACATATGTGAAATATGAAGGATAAACAACTACAACTATCAGCACATCAACCAGCTTAACAATATCAACATAAAATATCACAGCATTCAGCAATAACAGCACCGACATAGCGGCTATAACAACACCACGATAGTGGCTAACAACAGCACCAACATAGCGTCTATAACAGCACCACAATAGTGGCTAATAACAGCACCGACATAGTGGCTATAACAGCACCACAATAGTGGCTAATAA